ATTTGGTTATTTGGGATTGGCTAACTTCACTTAGCATTATCTTCTCTAACTCCATCCATTTACCTGCAAATGCCATGACTTTATTCTCTTTTATTGCTGAATAATATTCCATTGTGTATAAATGCCACATTTTTTAAAAATCCATTCATCTATTGAAGGGCATCTAGGTTGGTTCCACAATTTAGCTATTGTGAATTGTGCTGCTATAAATATTGATGTGACTGTGTCCCTGTAGTATGCTGTTTTTAAGTCCTCTGGGTATAGATTGAGGAGAGGGATAGCTGGGTCACTTCTTTTGACAACCCTCACTTCCACTTGTACACTGATAATTGTCCCTATTTTATGTCTCCTTAGCATGGCTCACAGTGGGGCTCTCCTCAGCGTCACAATGGACTCCGAATGGCCTCTTGTACACATTGGTCTCCCTGTACCAAGCCTCCTCTCCGGAGGAGGAGAAACACCTCACTGTACTGGTCCACCTGGCAGATTCTGACCTCCTCTGGCTCAAAGAAACCATTGCCCAAATTTCAAGACTCTTCAGTCCACAGATCTTGGCCGGGCAGTTGCTACTGATCCACGCTCCATCTGATGTCTATCCCTCTGTGAATGGCACCCGGAATGAGGCCAGTCGAGAGGAACTGTACTCCAAGCAGAACGTGGATCATGCCTTCCTCGTGAGCTTTGCCACAAATCTCTCTACTTACTTCCTGTTAATCGAGGACAATGTCTTTTGTTCCCCCAACTTTGTCACCCAAATCCATTCACAGGTGGCCACCATGAAGTCCAGTCCGTGGGTGATCCTGGAGTTCTCGGACATAGGTTTCCTTGGCAAACTCTTCCACAGCAAGGACCTCCCACTGCTGGCCCATTTCCTGCTCCTCTTCCACCAGGAGAAGCCCCTTGACAAACTGCTCCTTCATTTCCGCACCCTTATGGTCCAGGAGAAATCAATCATCTGCAGACCATTTCTTTTCTATTACAGGATGTCCCACCCCACCTTTGATGACAACCAAAAGGCCACACTCGATCGGGAAACCGACCCTTTTGGTCCCGACAACCCCCCTGCTGCCGTGTTCACAGATATGACAGTTTCTAATGTCCACTTCCCCTGGGAGGCCTACACTCTGGATGAGTCCTACTTCTGGACGCACGATGTTAATGCAGGGGACCACTTGACCGTGATCTTGAACCATCCATCGAACTTGACCAAAGTGCAGGTGATGACAGGCTCCATCATGGAGGGAAAGTATGCCCTGAGGAAGGGGCAGGTGGAGCTGGGCTACGACCCCGAGGGGATGCCTCAGTACTGTGCCTCATTTTTCGTGCTGGGCCATCTGGTGGAGGGGCAGCTGTCTCAGGAGATAGTTCCAAAAAGCATGGGACACCAAGTGAACTGTGTGAGGCTGGTGGCCAAAGCCAAACAGGATGGGGGCCTCATGATCAGGCACATCTACCTCTGGGAAGAAAAGGCCAAGAAGGAAAAGCTCATCAGAGACGGCGGTACATCATTAAAAGTATGAAAAAATTAAAGTCATGAAGCCATTTCTTTTTTTTTTTTTTAATTTTTTAATATTTATTTTCCATTTCTCGGCAGACACAACATCGTTGTTTGTATGTGGTGCTGAGGATCGAACCCAGGCCGCACGCATGCCAGGCGAGCGCGCTACCGCTTGAGCCACATCCCCAGCCCCTCATGAAGCCATTTCCTTCTGGCCTGTGTGAGTGACGTAGGAAAGGTACAAGGGAATGATGAGGAAAGGGGTCACAAGTTCCAGACAAGCCTCAGCAACTTAGTGAGACCCTGCCTCCAAATAAAATGTGGGGTCTGGGGGAGTAGCTCAAGGGTAGAGTGCCCCTAGATTCATCCCCAGTGCTCCGCCTTTACCCTGAAAAAATAGGCAAAGGATTTGGATAGACAGTTCTCCAAAGAAGATAGCAAATAAGAACATGAAAAAAATGTGTTTCATGATCATTCGTCACTGGGGAGCTGGCGCAATGGCGCTTACCTGTAATTCCAGCTAGTCAGGAGGCTGAGGCAGAAGGATCACAAGCTGAGGCCAGTCTCAGCAATTTAGGGAGACCCTGTCTCAAAATTGAGATTAAAAAGAAATGGGGATCTGGTGCTAAGGTTGTGGCTCAGTGGTAGAGCACTCACCTCTGATGTGTGAGGCACTGGGTTCAATCCTCAGCACCACATAAAAATAAAGGTATTGTGATCACTTACAACCAAAAAATATTAAAGGGGGGCTGGGGATCTAATTCAGAGGTAGAGTGTCCCTAGGTTCATTGTCCAGTACCAAAACTCCCTCCAACCTGCCCCCCAAAAAACAACAAAAATGAAATTCTACTGATACTCATCATGATGGCTATAATTGAAAAACAAGGTAAATTAAAACTACTCTAAGATACCATCTCACTCCAGTAAGAGTGGCAGCCATTAAGAAGACAACAATAAGTGTTGGCAAGGATGCGGGGGAAAAAGGCGCACTCATACACTGCTGGTGGGTCTTCAAATTGGTGCAGCCAATTTGGAAAGTAGTATGGAGATTCCTTGGAAAACTGGGAATGGAACCACCATTTGACCCAGCTGTTCCTCTTCTCGGACTATACCCAAAGGACCTAAAAACAGCATATTACAGGGACACAGCCACATCAATGTTTATAGCAGCACAATTCACAATAGCTAAACTGTGGAGCCAACCTAGATGTCCTTCAGTGGATGAATGGATAAAAAAAATGTGGCATTTGTACACAATGGAATATTACTCAGCA